AGCTCCGAAATATGAATGAAGTTGGCCAACAATTGGGGCGTTGGAACGATCCACGAGTGTACTATTTTTGGAAAGCGAGATTGACAAATCCCTCGTCCGAAAACGATTCTTTACTCGAGCTATACAGATTTGAAGAAATTAAACAGTGAACGTGAAACGCACGACTCGTCGGCATCCATGGGAAACGATCGAAACAATATTTTTCTTTCTCGCAGCCTAAGCGCCTCGTGCCCCTGCAACACTTTCGTAGGTGTTAATAAATTCAATAGGAAGTTATTGAAAACTTCCTCTAAACATTCAGGATGGGCCACCCACGGATGTAGGACCGTGACACGCGCCGTTGTTTAACCCTCCGCATAGGCGTCGACCGAGCCTAATCGGTGCAATTTCACAGGCAGAATTTTCTAAAGGGTGCAACAGGGATTAAACAACTTAAATATTTTCCTACAGTTGATACATTGATATTGGGGGGGTGGAAAAAATTGTAAACAATTTTTCTTTCGATCGAGACGCAATTTCAAAAGTTCAGAAACCACCATGGCGGATCGATTCGACCGCGTGAGTGTTTCGGTCAGATTTCGAAACGATCGAAATTTGGGGAAGGAAAATCGACGCCTGTGGCTGGCCACGCACGCTTGTCGGCCGAGTGGGGTGGGCGGGGGAAAAATTGTGTCTGGCGGGCGAAGCAACCACTGCCAGCTGACGGACCCCCGAAAGCGGAAGCCATGGATCTTTATTAAATCCACGAAATTTATGTCGAGGCGGTCGCGTGGCCGGCGAAACGTGTGCCACGTCGGTCTGCCCCGAAAGGGTATTTATCCCTCTCCGCTTTTCAAGCGCATGATCCACGTTTGCGTTGGGCAAACGAACCCGGGACTCCGGGCGACGCCGGTTCCATTGTGTAACGCGCGTGTACGCGTCGATGCACCCCGTGTATTGCATTTTTTTTCAATATTTTTCAACCTCTCGTTTCCTTTATTTCGGCTTCTTGTCGTCGATTATCGCCGCCCGGCGTCGAACGAATCGTTCCCCGATGTCCGTTTAACGAACGCGACGTTTAATTTACGCGTCGCGGACGCCTTCGGTCGAGCCCCGGGGACCTCTGTTTGCTCGTCGACGAACTCTGTCGCGAAATACGTTTCACGAAGGGATTTGTAATTTTATTTCGACCCCCCCCCCCGACCACGGAATATTTGTTTCAACGTGGCTGGCAGCCGGCGTATCCGCCGTTCGCGGATATTTCAGAAATTAGATGGGGAGGTTCGATACGAAAGGATGTATGTTTAGGACTGTTTAGTTACGTGTAATAATGGAGGGACAAAAGGACCAGCGTTTGTCGCTACTTTATCGATTCAAACAGTTGGGCTTATTTAAATGAAACGTTCGCTGGCTACGTTTCCTCTGTTCAATTTTAATAAACGAACTGTTCTATTTTCTGTTCTCGTACGGTCATTTAATTGGTCTTCGCCTCTACTATTGTACCACGTTGATAAAAATAAATTCCAAAGCAAGATTGATGTATTACGTAAGTTTCTTTCTATCCCCAAAATCAGTTGCAGAGGAAAGGAGCTTCGCGACGAAAGAAATAAAAAGCATTCGTAATGCACGAGAAGCGGCTATTTAAATGTACATTCCTTGACCGTAGAATCGTTGCCGCGTATCTCCAGACGGGATCTTCCACTGAAAACACGATCGCGGCCGCGTGGGCGTCAACTCGGGAAGTGGATATTTGAGAAAACGTTGGGGGCACAAACGACTCGGTGTATCTGCCAGAGGAAGTGGCCCTAATAGGAAGACTTTAATTACACTGGCTGGAGGCACGTTATCGTCGCGGTACAAGCACGTTGCACTTGAAGGAATTCCAAATGCACCACACCTTTTCGCCGATAAATGCCCCTCTTAACCTGTAATTATACCACAGAGACCCACCCCGCGAAACGTTTCTTCGCCAGCCATTCTCCCGTGCAATTCCACCCTTTTTCCGCGCCTGGAAACTGTTAAACATTAACGCCCGTTGCAATTAAACCTACCACTAATAAACTGTTCGACGACGTTGACTGATCCTTATCGAGTCGAATTTAATTTGGGTCACTGACTCATGATGGTTTCCGTTATACGAAAATAAAAACGGAACCTTTTTTATAAATTTAAAATATTCGCGGCACAAACGGAACAACCAACGAACTGTCGATCGTAATTAAACTCTGTTCGGTGAAAAGTACCGAACGTACCTCGCAACGGAATATTCTTCTAATTATGTATATCTTGTAAATTGATCGTTAATTGCACCCTTTAGAAGTAGATCGGATCTGTTTCCACCGGACGTCCGTGTATCGCACTTCATTAAACCAGAATTCGCTATCGATCTCTTGGACCCGTTCGTTGCGTCATTTGCGTCCCCAGGCGGGTCTTCCTAACCACCAATATTATCAGCATGATTTATTCGAAACCTTTCGAGCCTGCATACTTAGGTTATTACCGTCATAAATTCGAAACACGTCCTCCACGGTTGATACCAGACCTGACCTACCTCGTCTTGAAATATGAGATATTTCGCGGTCCCCCGGAAGTCTCTATAAAATATTTCCTCCGCTGCCTCGTTTCCCACGTTGTTTTTCGCGCGCCTCCCACCGTTAAGGTTCGTTCACACTATCTCTCAATGATTTAAAAAAATTAGATCCCTTAAAAGATGAGCTCGAGAATTTCAACCCCCACCTTCCAACATCCCCTTTAATACACTGAGTATCAGATCCATGAAATTTTCTACGAGATTCTATTTTCAGGCAATTGGTTTTTATCTTTTGTTTGGTATAGTATCGTGAAATTTTTCTTAGCTCTCGAGTGGAAAATTGGGAGTATTTTAGAGACGTGTGGAGGGGTGGTGTGAGTCAGGCTTTAACCGCGACCCTGTATCGTCCGTGTTTCGTTTATTTTGCCATCGAATGCTTTAAACATCGACGAACGACGCGTGCGGATGCTGGCGGTGCCGGAGCGGGCAACGTGGCTCGTTAATGGAACGCCGGAAGACAAATGTATTTCTCGATACGAGGCATTAAGAAACTCGTTACACGGCGAAGCTGGAAAATAGCTTCGAGTCTGTATCGGTTCTTCTGCTGTTCTCTGGAATGGGAGTTGCACCTTATCCCTTTACTTCAGTTTGCGATAGCTTGTTCCGCCACGGTCAAAGGACGAGCTTCCTGTTCGCCGAGAAAGGCAATTTACGCGACACTGGATACGATGGACGTTTAACTGTCTGTTTTATAAATGATCGAGATGCTCCGTTCCAGCGGAAGAGTCACGTTTTCCAATCCAGATACGAGCCACAATTTTCTCAGTCGCGAACGTAACACGCACAGAGACAGGTGTGAGTTCAAATAAAATGCCAAATATATGGCATTCTTTTCTCGTTATTTTCTAATTGTTTTAAAAAGTGTAATGATCGAATTTTGTGACACGATTCCTATTTAATTACGCTTAACAAGAACTAATCGTGTTAAACGATAAAATTTGGATCCAACTCTGCTCTATCGTACTCTATCGATTTGGTTCTAATACTGGAATTACTTAATTTAAATTTCGTGTAATTTCAATACTAGATTTGCTTATACTTAGATGACCATTCGAATATCCAATAATAGATCCTTTTGTCGAATCACCTCAATTATTTACCGACTGGTTCCTAAGGAATTTGAATATTACATCTTTTCGCCAATTTAATCTTCCAACAAAACTTCGACTAAATCCAATCTGAACTCTTGCTCATTATTTAGAATTACTCGTTCTTCAACTTAATAACGGAAAAAAAAGTTCCTCGAACAAGTTTCACTTCTTTGGAGACTGAAACTCTTAATTGCTTAGTTAAATTAAATAATGGTCTTTCAAAGTTAACTGAGAATTAGCTGGATACAAACTGGAGGAAAAATTTTCACGAAACTATAAGATTCTCTAGGGGTATTCTAGGAGTCATCTAGGGGTCATCTAGGTCGAACAGGCCTCCCATGCTCGCCACCAGAGGGGTCGCGCTCTCACAAGCGCTCGACCGACCCCTCGGTTGCTATATACATATACATTCCTTGAACGACTTTTCAATATTCCAGTCGTCTAAGGCAGGGCCTGCTAGAACCTTACTGATGAGTCCACTAGCAGACCCCGCACGAAACGTGTCCCCTTCTCACGAGTTTCCAAGCCACAGGCCCAAATTTACGAAAGTACAACTTAAAACCAATGATTTTTGGAACGAGAAGCAATTTTTCCCCCCTGCCATATCCTGTTCCCAGTCAACGCAAATAAAAGCCCGACTACGAAGGATGCAAATTACTGTCGAAGATTCGTTGACCGATTCGAGCGGTCCCAACCCTCCGGACCGTCCGATAGGAGGGGTTTTCGCGCGAAGTGTATCGCGTAAATAGACGAAAAGTCCCGGAGGCGAGCAGCCCCGTAATCAAGGCGACGCAGATGAAAGAACTCCGTCTCTGTCGCGTAGTCCACCAACCGGAATGCTGGAACAAAGGCGTCCTGCGATCAAACTCGCGGGAAGAAGAACGGTGAACAAAAACGCCCCGGCGTGTCTGCCCCGAAACGACCGATTAAACCGAGTCGCGAAACAGCCTTCGCGGTGGCTATCGTCTATACCGCGAGAAACGCCTCGTGGAAGCGTTTATAATCGTATCTGGAGCGATTAACCGGGGAATTAATGAGTCTTATCGGATGCGGCCACCGAGCTGTGTTTTTTCGGTGGCCGAGAGAAGCAACAGCTAGTAGCGGCGGGTTTACGGTGCGCCGTTGGCGGAGCACCGCCTCCCCCTCCCGGAGGGGGTGGAAAAGGTAGACAGAGAACAGAAGGACCGACGTGGAAGGGGGACGGCAAGGTGGGAGAAAGCGGGACGAACGGCGGCGCGGTGGTAAAAGTGTCGAGAGCGAGAGAGACGGACGATACGGTTTACCCTGGTGAGAGAGAGAGGGAAGGGGTGGGAGAACTAGATTGCTGGGGAAGGAGGGAGAAGGACAGAGGATGTCTGTCGTAACGGAGTAGTGGCGGTAGTAGCATGTACGGCGTTTTAACTCGCGGGGAAAAGTCCGAGAGCACGAGCTCGCGATCCTCAGTCGCGTGTGACACGCGGCGTTAATCGGTGCTCGTTGGGGTCGCGATCTATCGAGCGTCTCGAGATTCTCGATCGACGCGGGACGCACGAAACGACGTGTCTTTCGATTATTTCGTCTCGCGTGTGTGTTCGTCGAAGGAAATCTGTGCCCGGAGACGGACCGGATGGGATGTGTCGATCTTTCTTTTAGCTCATCGACGGGAAATCTGTTTGTTGTTTCCCGTTCGAGAGGCTCGAACGCGTCGTGATTGATTATGTCGAGATAGGGAGGATCGATGGTACGCGCGAGAATTATAAATTCACGTGATATTGTAAATCCTGCGTCGCGTTGAATATTTCATACGAGGCGAAGTCGGGCAGCCGCGAGCTGTTCGTTCGGAAAACGATACACCGCTCGAAGGATTTATACGATGCGCGTCGACAGCGAGAAGAGAATTCCGCGTCACGACGCGCGTTCGACGGGAATCCCGCGCGGACCGGAAACCGACGCCGAAACCTAAGACGCTCGATGAACGATAGAAAGAAATTTTCTAGAAAAAGTCCAGCATCGAGGTAAATTGGAGAGCTCCTGATCGAAGAAATTTACGTTAATCGTGCGAATGATTTCTCGTCGGGTCGGTTAATTCGAGGATTTCGATGTTACAATGTGTTTCGAGTCATCCTGAACTTGATCGAGAATCTAAATAATGTTCGTAGTTAAATGTCGTGGAAAACATAAGTGAAATGCAGGATTAAGTCCAGTATTTTCTCAAACGTATGCTGTTCAATTTTGTTTGAATTTGTTCACACGTGCAACGCCCGTGAAAAATATCTAACGTTATTTTACTTGATCGCGTGCTACGGAGTTTATTGCCCCGCGTAATTTAAATATGATCGATGATAATGATCCAGACAAAGAGCTACGAAATTATCGTAATATTCTGCAAACAAATAACGCGATTAATTGCATCACAAGAGCAATAACGATACACCGATCGTGAAACACATACGAAACATTAAATTTAATTAATTCCATCGTGAGTTCAAAATAAACAAATTGTACGTTAAAGTACTCGAACCGACTAACCTGTCGAGGAATCTTGAACGCGAAATTAATTCTCATAAAAATGGCGTAGCGGAAGGGCTCGCCAAGGAAGAAGTTCTCTGCTAAAGCGGATGTCTGGCGGAAAGATCGCTTCGAGGGACGGCGTCGAGGGTCCAAGAACCTCCACCGAGAATCTTAAATCGAGTCGGGATCGTGCCGCCTCGAGAAGAAGCGATTGAATCGACGGAGAACGACGGAGGACAATAATATTCGTTATCCAGGCTGAAACACTTGCAGGGCGTTAGCATTCTCTGGCGTCGGGATCGGAAGCTCGCGACTTCCGTTTCTGGGCTTTGGAGAACGAGCGAGAGTAACCGCGTGCCGGAAGTTCCGGTCTCTGGAGCGGTCGCTTTCGCCTCGCAATGAAAATGAATCTCTTGGAACGCGACACGCTCGACGGAACCGCGATTGTCACACGCGTCGTTCGTGGAAGCTCTTGGAAATTCGTGTAAAGCGAGTCGCTGATCGGGCCGAGGAGCGTCGAGGATGGCGCCATCGGTCCACAACCGATAGCGAATTCGAGAAACGGAATTCGGTCCTTCTTATTCCTGGGATACTCTTAATCGAAAACGAAAGATGAGGGACAAACTTGCGTTCAGCGTAAGTGGTATCGACTTCGGTGTTTATTTTAAGATGGAATCGACGGATGTCGTCCGATTTTAGATTTATGATTCTAGATATCTTAGAATAGCGAAATTCGTGTTGTATTTAGCTCGAAGCGAGTAATGTAATTGGTTATAGAAACCGTGATCGAACCCTGAAAATATATTTATTGGTGAAATTATAAAATCTTTCAAACTATTTTAAAACTAAAGATTGACCTGAATCCTGCAATTTGTTGATTTTCGTAGGGAACGCAAAGCAGACAGCTTCGAACGTCAAGTTCTGATAGTACGTAAATAAAGCGGTTTATTGCGAGAATATCGGTTGCTCGTACGAAATATGAATATTTAATAATTGAAATTAGTTCCGAGAATCTCGGATCGTCCTCGTTTCTATATTCCTACGCGGAAAGTTTGTAACGTGGAAGAACTTGGATAGTTTAAACAGTCTTTGTTGATGCATCGTGCAACATATTCTTTTGTCGACGATGTCACCGTGATGGTTCTACGTTAATTTACGTGATTCGACTTTGACGGTATCGTTGTGATTTACAGTCGGGGGTGCCGGACATGCACGAGACCCTGTCTAGTTTTCCGGAACAGTTCGGGGATGGGCCGAGGAAACCGGAAATAAAGCCAGAAGCGCCGAAGGAGTCGGACGGGACGACGGATAACCTCAAGTGCGGATGGTTCTGGTTCAGGCCCACGTACCTTCAACGATTTCGAACTGCGAAATGGGCACTTTTCTGGCTCTGTTGGACAGGTGCTATACAAGGTACGTCGCATAAATTTCACCACGATCTCGCAAAAAGGGGGTGCATCCACTTATTTCTTCGCGCCGTTAAATCTTTCTCACATTCGAAAATCCGAATTTAAAGAATAAGGGGAAGGGAGGCGAATTTATTTCCTCGCGGAGTTGTGAATTTGTAATTTTTCCCACGTTCGAAAATCCGAATGCTAAGGAAAAAAGGGGGTGAAAGGTGAATCCACTTATTTCTCCTCGAAGTTGTGAATTTCTCCCCGCATTGGGAGTTCCAAAACCAGAAAAAAATCCTCGAGGGGGCCCTAATCGATTACGAAGGGTCGATCGAATGCGCGACAGGGACCGTAAACAGTGTCGGGGTGCTTGAAACCCTGACGTTGAGTTTTCGGCATAATCGAAGGTGCGCGATCGAGTCCCGATATCGTCGTTTGGCGTTACTAATAGCCGCGCGTTCGAATGCAATTTCGAAGCTTTCAGAGCGGGGGTGGGTGAGTGACAGAGGGACGGTGACCGACGATAACCGGAAATCGAGTTTTCCGGAGCCGGTGGCAGGAGGTTGACGCGCGTCGGAGGGGTAGCGGGCGATCGAAAGGAAACTGGATCGACGAGGCGCGTGTGTGTCGCGAGGTAAAGGGTGCAATCGAGAGAAAAGGGCGCGCAGAGGAACCGGCTGAGTCGAGTTGCAGCAAGTTTGCGTTCGTGCCCCCTTCTTTAACGCCGGTCCCCGCGACAAAAGAAATCGTCCTGCGGAGGTCCGTGCCTTCTCCGCGGCCAATGGGATTGAACAAATTGCCGGACAATGGAGCCCCGGCAATCGTCTCTGTACAAGTCGAGAATAAGTTTGTACGAGACGCGCGTATGGTCGGTCGGTTATGTGCGTGTAGCTTTGCAGAGATTCACGTGTGGAGAGGCCGAGAGGAGCCCGTGGCCCGGGGTTGGCCAACCCCGCCAGCTGGAGAAACGAATTGTCCGCGACGAGCAGACCCGGCCCCCGGCTTTAATTAAAATTCTCCTATTAGCGGTACAATGGGAAACGAAGGTGGTTAATTTACCGGGTAGACAGCCACCGGATACAGCGACACTTAAGCCCAGGGCTCCTTGTCCGCCGCGAGCGCGTCAATTCGACGAATATTGGTTAACAAGCTCCCTCCCATTGCTTAAGAAGAGGAGGTTGCTTATTCCTCGTCGTCGGGACGAGATCGTCCAATTTTCTGAATTCTTTTCTCCAGCTTCGAGAGACTGGGTCGTTTCGTTTCGAATGGACGCCCGTGGTTCGATTCAGAAACGATCAATCTGTGCATACAGGGTGTTCGACCACCGCTGGGAAAAATTTTAATGGGAGATTCTAGAGGCCAAAATAAGACGAAAATAAAGAATATCAATTTCTTGACTGAAAAAATTATTTTTAAATGCGAGGGTCAATTACAATTATTTTTGGTGAATACACATACTCCCGAAATCCTGTTCATTTTCGAGAAAAAAATTCAGGTAGGTGTTGAAATTTTCCGGAGAAATTGAAAAGTTTCAAATCAACGTAAAAAAATTATTTTTAGCTGCAGGGGTCAATTACAATCATTTTATGTGAATAGACATACTGTCGAATTCTTACGCGCTTTCGAGAAAAAAATTCGAGTAGGCGCAGAAATTTTTCGGCGAAAAAAAAATTTCAAATCGTTCTAAAAAAATTATTTTCGGTTCCGGGGGTCAATAACAATCATTTTCGGTCATTACACATACCCCCGAATTCCTGCGCATTTTCGAGAAAAAAAATTCAGTACGGGCGAAACTTTAAACGTTAATAACTTCTTAACGAAGCCTTCATCGACAGATCGCTATTCTTGATTTTCGTCTTATTTTGACCTCTAGTATCATCCATTAAAATTTTTCCCAGGAGTGGCCGAGCACCCTGTATGCTCGTGAGAAAGAAAAAGTGTTTAATAGATTTTCGGTTCGGGAGAGCGATTTCTTCGAAGGGTGAGCGGACACCGTTCGCAGGAGGGGTGCCGTAATTGAATTAGTTTACCCTTCTGATTCATTTACACGCAGCACGCGGATTTGCTTTGGCGAACACGCGGGCCTTCGTAGTATTCCGGATCGACGATGTTTGCGTCCGTGGACGAGATATTATTTGGGAACCCGTGCTCTCTCTGTTATCGATTAAACGCTCTTACGAACCGTATTGTTCGCTCGAGATCGATGACCGTCGAGAATATTAACGGATCAGCACGGAATAATTCCAAGCCTTCTGCGTACGAGTGCAAATAAGACTGACGATCGTGGTAAAAAATTGCAAAATTGAAATCTTATCGCGTTTCTTAAGCCACAAGATCATTATACGCGTCGTAAATATTTGTTTATCAAACGAAAACTCCATCAGATATTCGTGTGTATGCTTAATCTCAATTCCGAGCAAACTTCAACGCTGCAACATCTTATATTATCGCGTCTTTATCACGTGTTCCGCCAAAAAAAGAATCGCTCAAGCGTGCTTTGTTTCAGGAATGGTGGTGAACGGTTTCGTAAACGTTGTTATCACCACGATAGAGAGGAGATTCGGATTAAGGTCGTCCCAGACCGGTCTAATAGCGGGTGGATACGACATAGCCAGTTTCCTTCTGCTGGTCCCGGTCAGCTACCTAGGTGGACGTTCGAAAGCATCGAAACCAAGGTTTGCACACAACTCCTAAACAAAGCAACAAGTTTTATTCCCCGCGAGTGACACGAAACTATCTGGGCCACTGTGTTTATTTCCATTTTTTACTCCAGTAGGAAACAAACGAAACTATGATCGCTTAAACTAGTGTGTTCGAGTGAAAAGAAGCTGTGTTGACATCCCATTATTGATCAGACCAATGGCCAATGCGTGCAGTAGTATTAAACAGGCACCAGAATGGGAATGTTAACAAGCTTAGCCTTCTTTTCACACGAGCACAATACTTCCCAAAAGCATGTTATCAATGACTTTTTTACCCAACTAGAAACAAAACGCAAAATGTAGATAGAGGAAACAGATCGAAAGGGTCCATTTGCCGAGCCCTTTGAAAAAATTGTAAATATTAATTTGGGCGTCAAGATTGGCGCCCGAGTCGGACGTTAATTTCCATTTCGTCGCTTGGACGCTTTCGGGTCTGGTGCACCTTCCTCGAGAGTTCGATCCCTGTTCGGCGATCAATGACACTCGGAAAGACTCGTGCAATCTCGAAGCGATTGTATGAATATTTATAAAGCGGCGGGAGAAGCCGTTTCATCGAAACGACGATGAATTAGCAACGAAGCTTTCTGCCGCAGGTACATAGGCGTAGGAGTTCTAGTCTTAGGTATAGGAAGTCTGCTGTTCGCGTCCCCGCATTACATCGCTGGACCTTACAGAGGTGGCCAGCAGTCGGAGAACATATGCCAGAGGGTGACCAACACTTCGTCTCGATCGGTGAGCAATTACCCTAATCCTACCGGTGGTTAACCCTGAACCTACCGCAACATCGCTTTGGGTCGAATACCAACTTCTACTGACTTTAAGCTCTGGAACAAACTGTGTAAATTTACTTGGAAACCAATTACTCGAACTTGGCAACCCAAAGTGGATGTGATTTCCGAATTTGTTGGACGTTGCCCTTAAAAAACAAACGTCTGCTATCGATAGATGGTAGTTCTAAAATTTGGTGGATCGAAATGTTTAAATTCAAGGTTGAGTAATTAATTAAAAGTGTAACAATTGTCTTTTCGAGTTGTTGTTCGCTTCTTCTTAATTAGAACGGTGTCGTGTATCGGAAGGAAGAAGTCGGTGTTACGGGCGAGTAAATTTCGCGTGTTTTCTATCTCGCTAATTAAATTACTCTCAATTTGCTTGCGTGTTTCCGCCATTCAGGTCTCCTGCAACGGGTCCGCGGGCCAAACGGACCAGGAGCCTTACAGCGGGTTGTACTTAACTATCTTTCTCGTGGCTCAACTTCTGCACGGCGCGGGCTCCGCTCCTTTTTATACGCTCGGAGTTACGTACCTCGACGAGAACGTATCGAAAAAGATGTCGTCCGTGTACGTAGGTAAGAAACAGTCTGTCTAACCGTCGTTCCACGCGAGCATTCGACTGCGAGAGAATTGTAATTAGAACCGGTGAAAAAAAATTCCCATTAACCACCGTTTCAATTGCCACGTGTTTCGTTCGCGGAGGGAAAGACATCGAGTCGATTAGAAAATGTCTCGAACGAAAACAATTAACGGGTTACGGAAATTTTTCATTTGTAATTAGAAACTGTTTACTGACTAAAAAACTGATTAAAAATTTTAGAAATATTTTAACAGGTTTAAAAACACCTGTATGTGTTTTCTGTTCAGGAATTTTCTACACAATGGCCATAATAGGGCCAGCGTTAGGCTACGTGGTCGGGGGCGAATTGTTGAAGCTGTACACGGACTTCATCACGGTGGACGCGACAGAGTGAGTTTCCATCAATGTTTTTTCGTAGCGTTAATAATCAAGCATGTTTCGAAAAAAGTGGAATTTAGAATATCCGAATTAGTTTGAAAATAACCGGTTCGATAAATGATCGTGCAAGGTTTCGTAAAGATGTTTTCTCGTAAGAATTTTCTTGGTAAGAATTTTCCTCGCGGAAAGGTTAGCCATTGGCCGAGACCAATCAAGTTGCACCGGCGCGCGTAGACGAGGAGAGAGGAACACTGACATCGGTTTGCTCATTAGCGTCTCGGAGACAAGAAGCAGGTAATTAAGCTTGGCAAACGCGTTGCAACGTCCAACAACATTTTCCGTCGTCTCCGACGCGATGTGCCTTTTTCCTCGCGAGGCGTCCTTTCAAGGCCGTGAAACGGCAAAAATAGATTATAAAAATCCGATACGGCCTGCACAACCCGTCTCCGCCGTTAACTCGATCTCTCCCTGCCGTTACTCGTAAAGCGTTTAAAAGAAGATCCCGACGAGGCATGAAAATCCTGTTTCCACGTAGCCCGCCGCCCCGACGCCGTTTCGCGAAAATTTTCATCCGGACATTTTTCACCCGGGCTCTGCTCGCGCCTGGCGATTAATTCCCGGATCCCGCGATTCTGAATTTACGCGCGGAACGAAACCTGCATGGCTGAAACATCACCGGAGCCACGTTCGATCGTCTTCCCCGCGAAATGGGGAAAACTGAATTAGTCGTTAAATCTATTTAAATTCATTTTATCTTTGATACGAATAAAACTTATATGGAGTTTTCTAATGAGAGTCATAGAACTTTCAGACGTCGTAGCCATCATGTTTGTTATGCAGTTGTTCGAGTCACGTGGTTGCATCGGTCACCATAGCCACCATATTGGTTATTCGATTATTCGATTCACACAATTGCATTGCCCGTAGAAAAATTTCGTGATAGATGGCACATTTCCGAAGCAAATTTATTTATGTATTTACGTGAGAAAATCCCTCTGACATGCAGAGATAAAAAAGTTATTAGTATTTCGTTATTTGAAGTACAAATTAATTTAATTCCTCGAACTGGATAACGTAAATCCATCGAAAAAATCAAACGATCACGAAACGAGATAACACGTTGCTCGAAATATTATTTTTAAGGTTGTTAATATACGATACTGTTAAAGAAGTATGGCAATTTCGAAGATCGAACGGGCTGGGATCCCATTTGTTTGATGCTGAAAATTCGAGAGCCATTGTGGACGCAGCCGGAATGCTCGAGGCGAACCGACCATACGTGGATACTCGTATTTGCATAACTCCGGATGTCGGTTATTCCCGTGGAAGCGCACGCGTTTCCGCGTACCTGTTCACCGGTGTTCGCGTATGGCGTGCGCGCGTATTGTCGGACAGGATCGGTGCAAACAGCCGATAAATCCTCGCGAGAATTTAATAAAGTCACTGTGACGCGCGCTAAACGTTCCCCCTTGCGACGGCCACGGGAAAAAAGCGGGAAACGCGTTTAACGGCGGCAACGAGGGGCGACAAATTCCGTCGACGCGCCCATTACGCGTCATTCCCCATCGGTATTCGACGACTATGAACTCTTCGCGCCGTGATACGCCGTAATGAAAGCGTACAGCTTTCGAGGCGTCCAACGCCCGACACGACCGTGACTCACGTAGTACAGTTATCCGGGACCTTCGAATTCGTCTTTATTTCTCCGCTAGTTTTCAACCCTTCGAGCACTGCTTGCGTACATCGTTAATTATCTACAGTTAAGTCAAATTTACAAATTTGATCATCATATGGACCGTATCCATTCTTTTAACGTTCGAGATCGAAAATGACTGCTTTCTTGTTACAAAAGAGAACCAAAGTACCCAAGTCCGATCTAGGGTTACGTAGCACTCCGCGTCGCCCGGAATCATCCTGCTCGAACGAGTTTCGAAGCCTCGGTCGTAATCGATAATAACGCGGATGTCGATGGGTTGCTCGAATAAATTCCCACGTATTTCGCTCGACGGAAGTTCGTTTTACAAAATCTTCGTGGCCGCGTCTTCGACGCGTAATACGCCCCGTTGAAAATATCCCGGAGGGGCCATTAGAGCGTATAATGGGCCGGGGATTAATAGTGCATGTAACCCCGTGGACGTGGTATACACGTACCCCGCGTGGAAAATGTCAAGCGGTGAACCAATGTTTGACGACGACGCCGATGTTACCCTTCAAAACTGTCACTTCATCCCCCGACACTTGGAGCACAATCAAGTTCCATTTGTCTACTCGTCTCCCCAGCCCTTTCGTTGAGTCACTCCGCCACGATGCACGTGAGAATCGAATTAATCGTTTGTCGTGCTGGCTATCCGTCTCTTTTCTCTCTTTTTTTTTTGTTTTTCGCGCGAAGATATACGAACGTCCGCGGTAAATCGATCCGTCGGCCGCGCAAAAGTATTTCGGGCATCCGTTCTTTCCTAGAATTTAAAAAATTGCCGAATATCGATTCCGACCGCTGTTTCGTCCTCGTTCCACGGCTCCGCCGAGTTTTCCAGTTATTTATATTGCTTATTTTCCTTGCAAATAATACTCTTTTATTTGGAATTCAATTTTTTATGTTTTCAACGTGACAAATTGCACGGAGAAATTTATCGAAATTTAACCCTTAACGATCCAGAAGTAGTTTCAATAAAAAGTCAAAGAAACATTTTGAAAATATAATTCCGTATACATATATCGTGTCTATTAAAATATGAAATCTCTACGAAGTTTCGCTCGTAGCCCTTCTCGCCCCTCTCGTTAAGTTTCGCTAAAACGTCAGGGGCCTCGAATCGATTCGGAGTAATGATTTCCTGGGGAACTCTCATTTTTTCCGCGATTAATAAATCAGGCACCGTCTCCTTTAAAGCTCGAGAAGCGAAGAAATTATTATGGTAACAGCCTACATCGGAAAAGACAAAAGGTGAAAGAAAAAAAAGAAAAAGAGGGGGAACGACGGAGGAGCAAGAAGTGGTTCGAAGGAGACTGAAATTAAAAGTCGAAAGGACCTCCCTTCGCGTTTCACGCTCGACCGCGCCACGGTCGCGAGGTATCTGAGCGGACAGCAAATTTAGAATTTCGCGACTCTCCCCTTGGAAAAGTTGCTTCGGAAAAACATCCTCCCCTTTGCTCGTCTACAAGTGTCCGGGAAGCTTTTTCGCGACGCTCTGCAAACGCTACGAGTTTACGACCATTTTCATCCCCTTCCGGGAAAAATATAAAAGTAATCCGACAGGAAAAAATAAAATAATTTAAAGTAGAATATACGGATTATTAAGAGCGTACGAGAACGATATGTCGCGAAGTGTTGAAACAGAAGAACGCGTTCGTACGCTTCGTTACGTAAATACATATTTTATCGATCGTTAATATTCAAATTTTATCTTCCATTTGCGTTTACGTGTATCAATGTTTTCAGTTACGTGTGTACGTTTCACTTCGTGCTGTATTCTTTTCGTAGTCTCGCGGAGTATCGAATTGTTTCGAATTCGAGCTCGAAAATCAATTACGACAGCGATAGTTAAAACGAAACGGACGAAAAAGAGGGTCGAGCGTCGATCCTTTGTATACCGAATGCAGTTAAGTCGGCTAAGAGATGATCGCTCGGTTAGTCAGCCGTTTCCGAGCAATCAATCACCTCTTCTTCTTGGCCGGGAGTTTTCCCGCGAAAAAACCCTGCTACGCCCACTGCCCGGGGCGAACCTAAGGTCGATGCGAAAAAACAAGCTAGTTACATAAACTCTCTGTTAGGAATATCTGCCGCGTCGATCGATGAAGCGTCCTTCTGCGTCTAAATTTGAAATTAGCCTCCGATAAGGATCAATACACTTTTTATCGGAACATCGCACCTTGAAAAGATTATTAATTCTGGAGATATTTTAATCATATAACGCCGTTGAACAAAATTGTAAACAAAGCTAGGCATCAAGCGAGAGGACAACATTAAAATTAAAATATCACCTAAACTAATGATTTTTTAACGTAAACAGGTTAAAACTTTCTTGTATGGAATATCAAAATGCATCGATCGATGCAATAAAAATTCCTCTTAGATATCTATACGTCCACCCACAAGAAATCGAAGGGTGTCCCAAAGTTTCGAGTGGCCCCGTTCTCCGTCGCCTTTGATTATACCTCTAAGTGTATATGGCGAGCAATATTTTTTAATCATTTTCGCGTGAACGGAATTTTGATGGCGACTCGATATATCTTCAAATAACGTCCCTCTTCGGTTTCGCGAGCAGCGAAAGACGAACCACTTCGTCGAGACCAATAACGTAACCGTGGGTCGCAATTACATTTCCCTGGAAACCGTTCGCGTCGCGGCTAGTTCGGTCTGCGCGCGTTTGAGTAGGTCGCCGTATATGTGGCGGCGTTTAATTTCGCAGGCAAATGAAAAGTTTCGCGGAGGAGGCGGCGGCAGATGCTACCAGCCCGCCGCGAGAGCTCCTCCCGAAGTGCTTTTCTCGCTTTTCCGCGGTCTCGCTTTCCAGTTTCCCACCGAGATGGGACTCCCGCGCGGCCAGCGTCCCGACGACCCTCGTCGTCGTCGTCGTCGTCTTCGCGACGCTCGGATATTACCGGAGTTCACCGAACAGAGGGATCGAAACTATTTTATATTTCACCGATAACGATCAAATTTTCCAAACTCGTTTACGAATGTAGTAATAATGATTCTTAAAGTGAACCTGAGGCCGTGATTCGTAAGTTGAACATTGTTAAACCGTTCAAGATCGTTGCGTTTTGGATTTATTTCTGAATGCACTAGTAATGACTCTTAAAGTGAACCTGAGACCGTGATTCGTAAGTTGAACATTGTTAAACCGTTCAAGATCGTCAAGATACGACGTTGCATTTAGGATTTATTTCTGAATACGGCAATAATGATTCTTAAAGTGAACTTCGTACGTGATTCGTAAGTTGAACATTACTAAATCGGCCAGGATCGTCAAAATACATTTTGGATTTATTTCTGAAAACATTAATAATGATTTTTAAAGCGAACACTAGGAACTAGGTAACTCAGTTCGATATATTTGGGTTTGTTTTATTCATTAATTTCCAGCTAGACGAACCCGTATGGTATGCATATTTATTTTTAAAATTACAGGAGAGTGTATTTTAGCGTCACATGGCCGATTGAAAAACAAAACCTGGTTTTTAGTTTAGGATCGGAAGATATAACCCAGTGCTGACCGAATATCGGCGCGGAACGCGTGTAAAAGGGGGTTTCCGGGTGTACTCGGAGCGAGAAATTAGTCGGAAAAGTTGCGCGAGCTTCGACGGGAGGATTTCGGAGCGCGATTAAAAAAAAAAAGAAAACACGTAGAGAGAGAGAGAGAGAGAGAGAGAGAGGGGGGAAATCGCCCAGTTGCGGCCCCGGAAGTTCGTCGCTGCCGTTTCGGGATAATTGCGTTTTTTGTTTAAATTCTTCCCCGCCCTTGTATTTACGCGCGATGTACGCCCCAGTTTTCCAACTTCCGTTTAATATCAGCCGCGCTTTAAGAGAGGCTCCGAGGAAGAACATTATAGACAGAAATAGTCGAATTAAACATTGAAATATTTTCTATCGTACGAAATAAAAATAAAATAGAAAAGGAACAGGTTTATGGAACGTTTCCGCAAAACTAAATTTCAGGATTGGTTTGACACCGGACAGCAACGTGTGGGTGGGTGCATGGTGGATAGGCTTCCTAGCAGCCGCTGTGATGAGTTTCATAATCGCTATACCGATCCTGGCGTTCCCAGCAGCGTTGCCTGGTATTTAAAACTATTTTCGGCCATATTTGTGTTTATTTCGCGACGTTAACCGGATTTTTCCACCAGGTTCCGAGGAGCTGGCCAAGGAGAGGGTGTCGGAGGCGCACGAGAAACCGAAACAGTCGTCTACGAGCGAGACGGGCGAGGCGTTTTCGAAAATACGCGAGCTGCCGCGCGCCCTAAGCGATCTGCTCGGCAATCCGGGATTTTTCATGTTGAATTTGGCAGGTGCCAGTGAAGGATTGCTTATCGCCGGATTCGCGGCGTTCCTGCCCAAGCTGATCGAAAATCAATTCAACGTCAGCGCTAGCTCGGCCGCGTTACTAATGGGTGAATAATATTGAAACGTTCTGTTACGATCAATCAAACGTGCCGCCTCTTCTGGCGCGCGTGATCGCCGGCCATTTTTTACCTGCTCCCCCCCGGAAACCGAAACGCCTCATTTGTTTCTTTTTTACGGTAAATATCGACCCAACGATTTGTTACCGTGTCCTCGTGATTTTTTAAACCGGTACACGGTGTACGTGTCTCCAAAATAAAAACACTAAATTTATACCAACAATAAAAATAAAACAAACCCTTTGGACCGCAGACAAAAATCAATTGACGCTTAAAACGATTATTTATACAGGAAATATAATTTTGTCTGGGACCTGTAGATCTTTATTCGTTGTTTATCGATATTGATGGAATATAGCAACAAATATAGTATTCTCGTCAAACGAGAATCAGAGAGAGACGAACGAATCGGTTCCCGAGGGTTTTGTTTTACACTCGTTCCGCGAAATGTTTACTCTCGACTAATATTCGAACGGAAGCTCGCGGAAATTACGAAACCGACGAAATACGCGCACGCGGGCGACTCGTAACGAAACTTTTTCGTTTTCAGGTCTGGTTACGGTCCCGGCGGGCGGCGGCGGTACGTTTCTCGGCGGTTATCTCATAAAACGATTCAATTTGCCCTGCTCTGGCATTTTGAAATTCTGCCTCCTGGCCACCGCCTCTTGCATCGCTTTCACTTTGTGCTTCGTTCTCAACTGTCCGAATTTGAACTTTGCCGGAGTCACGGTGCCCTATTCCGACCAAACAAAGTACGTCACTGTCGTAGTCGTTAAAAAATAACGAAACGTTTCATAAAATACGAGCAGATCTTCCAAAATACAATGTCTGACAAATTGTTTTCATTCATCGTATGATTGGAACTTTAATTGGAATTACAGATAACTATCGAACGATTAAATTTTCATCCGATCGATGATTTTCAGAAAATCTTTCTCGCTGGACGACGCGTGCAATAATGGCTGCGGTTGCTCGAGGTCGGAGTTCAATCCAATATGCGGAGTAGATGGGATCACGTACTATTCTCCGTGTCACGCGGGATGTTATCAAGAAACGCAGATAAACGACGTCGAAGTCAGTACAATTTCCATTCTTACTTGTTTCGCGGAATAATCCGATTAATTGCCCTAGGCAAAGTGCAACCGATTATTCCATGAAGGCCTGCATTCATTATGAACTAAAAAGCAACGTACGTGTTGCAAATTATAGCGGAAACTTAACATTAACTCCACATTTAAATATTTTGTCGTTTGTGTCGTGCGATTAACGTGTCGACTAATTACTCAGTAACTCGGCTATATATAGAATTCTTATTTTATCCTGCACGTTGAAATATTTCTGCTGATACGGACAAATTATTTATTTCTTTCCTTTCATTTATTGCATATTAACCGCAGTGCATATTGAGACGAATACATCTACCTCTGAAAAATCGAAAAATTTAGAAATTTTTATTTTCCATATCTAATAAATTTATTAGATTCTCCATTGAATTCGAGAAATTTTCCATTTAGAAACGGACCACCCATCCCACAGCACTAGGAAGCTAAAATCTCGAAAATAAACACTGTTCTAATGTTCGTTTCGAAAGGAATAATTGGAACTTTGTTTTTTCGCGTAAATTGAATAATCGACGTACTACCATAGATCACTTGGCCATTACGAATATTTCTATCGCAGGTATACTCGGATTGCACTTGCATACGAGCGCCATCGTTGAACATGACCGCGGGGGACGCCATAATCAGCTACGAGGCGATCAACACGACCTGCAACACGGCCTGCTCTTATTTGTGGCCCTTCATCGCCCTAGCTTTCTGCAATATGTTCATAACGTTTCTTTGCACGATGCCCGCGCTCTCAGCGACGCTTCGAGTCGTTCGAGACGACCAAAGATCGTTCGCCTTGGGCATACAGTGGATCAAAGTGAGGATCCTGGGCACCATACCTGCCCCCATGGTGTTTGGTGCTCTCATAGACGACACGTGTATTTTATGGAACGAAACCTGCGAGGGCAGGGGCGCCTGTCTCGTTTACGACAATCTATACATGAGCAGGTTCGAATTTCTAGCATCGTTAAATATTTCAAAATCATATTTCGGAAACCATCTTCATAAACTAAAAAAATTGTTCGATTCGTAAAATGGAGCACAATTTTTCTATCACAAAAGCAGCAACAAATCACACGAACGTATCAGAATTACTATTTACAGTGTAAAGTAACTATTACGAAATACTTGTTTCAAAATTTAATTTTGGAAACAATTTTTCATTTACTTGTTCAGTCGTTTACACAGAATATTCGACCAATCCTAGAAAAAATTTAAATGGGAGATTCTAGAGGCCAAAATAAGACGAAAATCAAAAATACCATTTTATCGTCTAAAGTTCCGCTCGTACTGAATTTTTTTCTCGAAAGTGCGCAGGATTTCGAGGGTGTGTCTATTCACCAAAAATAATTGTAATCGACCCCTGCAACTAAAAAATAATTTTTTCAGAACGATTCGAAATTTTTTTTTTTAACCGAAAAATTTGTCCACCTACTGAATTTTTTTCTCGAAAATGCGTAGGATTTCGGAGGTATGTCTGTTGACCAAAAATGATTGTATTTGACCCTTACACCCGAAAATAATTTTTTCAGAACGATTCGAAATTTTTTTTTAGTCGAAGAATTTATTCACCTACTGAATTTTTTTCTCGAAAATGCGTAGGATTTCGGGGGTGTGTCTGTTCACCAAAAATGATTGTAATCGACCCCCACAACCAAAAATAATTTTTTCTGAATGATTTGAAATTTTTGAATTTAATTTTTTAATAATTTTTTAACGAAACGTCAATCAAGAAATTGATATGCTTGCCTCTAGAATATCCCATTAAAATTTTTCCCAAGGGTGGCTGAACACCCTTGTATACCAAGTAATGATTTCGAATACTTTCCTATCGTTCTAAACAATTTTTTGGGCGACGCTGATGAACCTAACTATGGCGTTTCTTTCAGGTACATGCTCGCACTAGCTTTCATCGGCAAGGCGGCTTCCCTGCTTTTCTTCTTCCTTGCCTGGTGGACGTACATCCCCCCAGGAGGCAGAAGAGCCGATCAGAATTCGCGAGAAGAGCCCACCACGACGTTAATGTTGAACGACACCACCCCACACGAAGCGCCCACCACACCGGCAACGATCAATCCTATAATCGAGGCGTAAAAACTAACCCTGCGTTCCGTTAAGTTCGTTTGTAAGAAGACTAGAGACGATCTTGTTTCGCGAGGCTACAGTCTGGATGGAATCCTGGCTCTTAGAGAAGCATAGCGATATGTATTGTTGAATGTGTAATTATAATGGAAGTAATATAGAGAGCACGATGATGATTGTGTCTGCTAGTCAGTTGAGAAGAAATCAAGCGTCGTTGATAGTAAATCGACTGCGGATGTTTGTGCATTTGTGGGAAATTTTAATACAGAACGCACTTGCTATTCAAAAAAATAGGAAATGCTTAAAGTAAGATACGAATTATTATATTTGGGGGGTCGAGACGACCATCTACGAAGCTCTGATTTCATCGATTCTATTAATAAAAATATGAATTCGCATAAAGATCCGCAGTCCAACGATAAGACTTAGCTTTTACGAAGATAAAGCTTGGCAATGGATGTCGGCTCTTTATAGACATTCTTTTCGCTGGAAAGTTATTCAAGATACCTTAGCACATAGTTGGATGTATTTAATAACTGTGTCTATATTGTTTTTACGTGGACTAGCTAAGGGGTTATTTATTTGATATTTTTATTCCGTAGCATGGGTTGTTCACCGTCGAGGAGAAAATGGTATTTTATTCGTAGGGTGGTAATTTCGTGAAAGGTACACTTATTCACTATTGTTGAAGCACTAAAATATAAAGTGGACGAAACACGAGGGAGACTTTACGGATATCAAAAATTGTTTAAAATTGTACAGTTACCTTTATACGGTTCGTAATAAATAGGGTACTTGATGTAAGAGCCACTCACTGCCAGAATTGCTAATGTTTTTAATATCTTATCGAGAATCAAAGAAAAATATACTATGCTCGTTTTCTCGAGAAAACGACACGTACCTACCAGCTACGAAACATAATGGGCAAGTGCACTTGTAGTCCTTTTCGACGCTCTTTGTAAGCCACTTTCTCACCTGACATGGTCGTTTTGTTAAATTTTGGTTGTAATATTGATCAAGCACTTAAGCACTCTCCCAGTAATATCATTGTAGAAACTAATAGCTGTTGCTGAACGATGGATCAAAGGAAAGACTACCAGAATTAATTGTAATTATAAGACCATATCGCCCCTCTATTATCCGATCTGAATGTGATTTCAACTGGTGTAACAGTGTTTTATAATCCTGGTATTTACCGATCGTCAATTAACCTCAAAGGAGTGTATTTATCACAGATGATAATAATCGATGTTTAAGATAAAGAAAACTACCCCGCATTTTTATATTCTTCGTATTTATGCAACATAATTGGTTTGTATATAAGAAGTAATTTAATAATCTATTGTTGATAGAAACAATACCGTGTTTCGTCCTAAATTTACCATTCAATGAATTTATCTTCAAGAAATTTGGTGTTAGAGACTTTCGGTATACTTGATACTGTTAAGTTTCCTTGTATATTAATCTAACGTTTTCGAAACGATCCATTACCATTTTTATACTAAAGAATTCCAATTTACGTAGTCTTAGACTTTAGCTTCTATCGTAACGTTTTAGTTTGGAATTGCAGACCAATCCAAGCATCGAAGAAAGATCAAAGAAATTACTTCTTATAAAAAGAAACCTTTACGTAAGAGCAAATGAATTAAAATTTGCGATAATGCATAATTGTTACCATGACCAGATAAATTGTTGCTTCGCCTGTGCGACGCCTGTGCATCGTCGTTGCTTGTGTAAAGGAAACAGTGTATCGAGATGATCGAACGATCTCTATCGTGAACTGATATTTATAATAGATACGATAATTGCAAGTATATGTATTACAATTGATTGTATAATATTTAATGCATATCTCATTCGCGCGTGGAAATAAGAAATATCCGACTCAACAATTTTATACTACGCCAGGTTTTCATGTTTTACCGTTGGTAAAATGTTTCGTCTATTAACTTTATGAAACAAAAAAAGTAAAATTGAAGATACTTTATCGCGTTGGTATCGAAGAAATCGCAGATTTCTCGAAAGGTAACGTTAACAACAGTTCAACCACATCTGATGAAAATCATTGAAACATAAAAGCACCGATGAATCGTAGAATTTCTTATCGAAGATTTTTCATAAATGTAATTTGCAAAATTGAAGGCAAAACGTTTGTAATAACCAATTGTGTAAATGTGCAAACGCATGAGCGTATCATGGACTGTCGTTTACATCGATTTGATACGATGCATTTTGTGCGATTTCTAATTGTAATTATTTTTGTTATGAAAAAATAATATGTCTAACGCGTTTATTACACGTGTTGCCAATAAAGAGACAGTACGATACGTTACCCAATCTTTCTTCCTTTACGCATTTTACAGCTAGGCTACGAAATCATTATGAAATTTTCATACCTATTGTTTGCAACAATTATTAATTAACATCAGGCAATAGTTAAAGTAATGCTCTATAGCATGTGTTGTACAAATAATCGTTTTTGATACCCTTTCGCGTGGAATATTCATTTTTGGTCGAAGAATCGAATATCTACGCTAAAATCACAGACGAGGTATAAGAGTAGATCTTTCACCTAATGTAATTTTTCAGCCCGAGTTTCTGGGGTCCCGGGACCCCATTACCATTTTCGTGTCACTCGCAACGTTATCAACAGATTTAGAAATTAACACAAGAGGAAGCGAGACAGAAAATAAAATTACATAAATTTTATTATTTTTTAACGGAATGAAAGTTGTATGGTCCAGAATTGAGCATCGATCGATTAATTTCATTGGAATAACCAATCGATTGAGATTATTTAAAGATTTCAAAATTATTAAAATACGTAAGGATCTCATTGATAAATACACCGCAAATCCTCTATTTTTTATTTTAAATTATAATATATTATTTATTTAAAAACTAACTCGGCAAAAACGTATTTGCGACTCGAAATCAGTGTTATTAGACCGCACACCAGGACGAAGAAGGTATGTGGAACTAGAAGAAGAACGCAGCCATTAGCTCATATTATTTGCTATGTAATTAATAATTATATTAATTACGTAGTAAATAATATGACCCGGGTCTCACCACGTGGAGGTTGCTGCGACTGGAGACCCACCCTAGCCTCGCCCCAACCACCCTTCCTTTGGCGAGGAATTCGAATACCTATCTAAGGGAGAAGCTATCGAAAAGTTAGAAACGAGCTAGAAAAGGAGAGTTCTTAAAAGAACTGCCCAATCAAGAGACGAAGAACCTAACTAAATGTCAATACATGTGAGTTGATACACATGTTTTCTAAAAACGAAATTGAAATGTGCAACTGCACGCACGAACTCTGACCGATGAAGAGATCAAAAACCTAACAAAATGTTGATACATGTGAAATAATCCATCGCATGTTTTCTAGAAACGAAATTGGAATGTGCAACTGCACGTATGAATCCTGATTACTAAATTATCGATATGTACTTTATTATTAATTGTTCCTTCTTAAATAAATACTTGCATTATGACAGTGCCTAACAAGACACTCGTACAAAACGAAGAAAGGATCCTGAAGATCCAACCAGAAATGTGCAACTGCACGTATGGACCTTGCATATTCGAATACTAATATGTATCTTAATATTAATCATTCCCACTTAAATTTACGCACACGTTTCGGTAATATTTAATAAACGGCAGGAGAACGCTTTTTTATCTTATAATCTATATACATTTGTACTTATATTCTAACGCAATCTGTAGAAACATGAGGAAATATGAGGAAATATTTTCTTCTTGGTGTCTTCGTCACTCCCACGATGTTTTCCTGAAACAAAAACTCATATCCAATAAAATATATAACTCATATAAAACAAATAAATATGAAAAAATATTTCTTCTTGGTGTCTTGATTAATCCCACGATGTTTCCCTGAAACATAAATCAGACAATAAATAAAATTGTACAAAGAAACTAACTACATCAAGCTACTTCAAACTACAATAGAGTGGCACATATGGGGATGAAGTTAGACGTTTTAAATATCGCAACACTACGGGGCAACAACGCGATAAATCAACAATCGCAACGCTAATTTATAATAGAAAAAATTCCAAACGCGACTTGTAAGAATAAAAGCAACCCGCGAATGGTAATTATTCGCAACACTACCCTGAAAAGCAAACGCGAAAAATAGTAATTCGCAACTCTAATTCGCAATCGCGTTTACTAAAAATTCGCAACGCTATTTTTAAAGCAAACGCCCGGTTCCTAGGTTTGCGTAAAGACAATCACGAATCGTATTTATTCGCAGCACTAATACATCAACGCGATAAATATTTGTTCGCAACTCTACGAGCAAACGCGAACATTGTATATTATTCGCAACTCTAACTTTAATCAGGGGCTATTGGTACATGTACATAGACATGTACTGGCCACAAAATAAACTAACTACTACTAGTACTACAATTGGGGTAGAATTTGGGCATTGAAAATATCGCAACGCTAAATAAAAAATCGGACGATTAATCAAGATCGCAACGCTAATTTATAACGTGAAAATTACAAACGCGGTTGACATCCATTATTATATATATAAAAGAGTAAAAAAGCAACGCGAATCGTGATTGTTCGCAACACTACCCTGAAAATCAAACGCGAAAAATAGTATTACGCAACTCTACGAGCAATCACGTTTATCAATAATTCGCAACGCTATTTTTAAGCAAACATTCGGTACCTAAGTTTGCAAAAAACCAATCGCGTATCGTGTCAAGGCGCAACACTACCCTGAAAAGGAAACGCGAAAAACAGTGATTCGCAACTCTACAAGCAAACGCGATTATTGGATATTCGCAACTCTATGTATATCATAACCGCGAGTTATGGGGAGGGATGGCTGGCATGTATGGTGCAATTATGTACCATCAGGTACATGCATACGTGAGCGAGTCAGAAAAATAAACTAACTACAACTACAGACGAGTTAAGTGACAAAGTAGTAACAGGAATGACTTTCCATTCTCATCCGAGGATGAAGATGAAAAGCCATTTGTTGCAGCCCACTCTTGAGACAGTTTGTCAGGGCCTTTTCTTTCTTCGGCGGTCCTGCCGATGCCTGAAACTTACGAAAGACCGGGCTCGAGATTTTGTGCAATACGTAGTCTTCCAACAATATACGAATTGTTGCAAGAGCATACGTGGTGAATCTCGAGCGGGACGAACGTTTCGAAAGGGACCTGATCCCGACCGCGAGCGCGAGAGAGCGACTTTAAGAGTCGCGCGATTCAAGGAGTCGAAAATAAAGCCGAAACAAACAGCACAAGTGCACCGTTTGAATCAGCAAGATTTCTACTCTCGAAATCGTAACTACAGGAACAGAACTGCCACGCGAAAACGCGCCTACCCGAATTACTAATGTGGACAGTCCTGCCCTGACCCTGCCTACTTAGGTTTAAACACACACACCAGAGAATAAGTTACCTACCTACCTAACCCTATATTTAAAAAAATGCAAAACTCAGTCTCTCAAACAAACACTCCACGGTTCTCATTCTGAATGTCCGGGCGCGACCTAAACTAGAGAGGACTCCCCGGGGTTCCTCCGACACCCGGACACAACCTCATTCATACTCTAAAGGTACGTACCATTTCTGGAATCGACTGACAAAGCTAGTGCCCATTGCGTACTTTTATTATTTATGTAAAACATTTTAATATATCTGATATAGTCTTTATTAAAATATACTCTATACATATATGATTATATAAGATTGAAAAGCTAATTCATTATGCATTTAACAATATCATTGACGTGTATGCAATACGAACAATTGCCAAGTAAATAATAACTATAAGTTTAATATTATTATTGTGATTGTTATGAATCTAATGTCAAAAAATTCTGTATCTGAATTATGATGAACTTTTGATACGATGCACTTCCACAACCTAACCACAAACACACATATGTGGACAGTGCATCGTGCACGAGACACTAGCATTGTCAGTCGCACGGATAAGTTATTATTATAAATGTTACAAACTAAGTCATCGTGCCCCGTTGCCTTCGCTCGTGCAAATAACACTTGGGCATGTGCATGAACTTAGGCAACGAACACGGGAAAGTATCCTGAAAATCCTGACTAAAACAACTGGTTATTAATAATTAACTAAACGGTATCTATTCTCAGTTAAAATGACTCGACTTGTTATATGTAATATATCAACAACAGAGTACGTTAATATTGAAAGACATTATTATTCAAGAAAAATTTGTGACTGAAATTTAATTGTTCAAAATGTAAGACTTTAATAAAGATTTCATGATAAAATAATTTACTTTGCAAGTTGAAATAAATTTGTTAAATTATTATTTAAAATATGCAATTAACCTTGGTCGATTCTGTCGTCAAAGTAAATTTAAAAAAAAATAAAATTAACATGCATGTTCCTTTGAGTTCAAAATCGACCAGTCGCGAAACGCCTTCTTGCACATAAAATACATCGTATGATGTATTAATTAATAAAACGAATATTTAATAATTATATTAATGATGTAAGATATTTTACTCAATCATACGATTAATATAATGTTTTCACATTATATTAATTCATATTCTACTCAATTATTTAATTCATATAAAGATAATGAACATATTTCATATATTTTATCAAAATTGTGTAATAATCATATTGTGTAATATTTATTGATAACATTAAAAAACGCGAGTGCAAGAAGACCCTAGCCTGCACTAACAAAATATAATTCATGGGTATTTTTCATACCCGCGGTCACTTAACTCGTCAAAAATACCAAGTATACAACTGGTCACCCGTATTGATTCGGATATTTTATCCTACAACATGGTTAGGGACCAGAGGAAACAAAATAGCATGCGACTCACCAACTGTAGAATTCAAGCACCCGGGCAACGATGTCGCCTAGTAGGAGTCATCAGCGAAGTCATCAGCGACGTTAGAAATGAAGTCAGCATCAAGGTCAGCAGCGAGATCATCGTCGAATTTCTCTGGATCCACAAGTACGATGATGAGATGTCAGGATCCTTTAGAAGGAAAGAGTAAATGTTTTTACGAAAGGTTTCTACCGTATTTGAAAACTTGATGGCAAATTTAAATCAAACAATTTTTTTTAAGCGTACTCGGAACAAAATACAAAGGATACTTACATTTTTCGCACGTGAGCATCGCCAAATACTCTTTTTCGTATAGATACAGGTTTCTTGTCGAAACGTGTTCACAAACTCTCAAAGCATTATGGCGTCGCGTCTGTAGCGTGACCGTAGTTTGGCCGCAGTTGAGAGTCTCATGTGGTTGAAT